GGTGTACTATGTTGGTTCCGTGGTTGTCCGTTTGGGCAGTTGGGCTCCGAGACAGATTAGGTGAGCTCAGCACGCGACCATGCGAGCCACCGGGTTTGGAAAGGATGTGCGCAAGAAAAGATGACAGAAGGAACACGAGCGTGAGTGGAGCACGTTGCCACACAACGCAGTCTGGGGGACTGGTGGGAACTTGACTGGGGGACTTGTGGGAACTTGACATTTCGACTGGGGTTTTCTGGCCAAGCTTCCTGAATGAAAAGGTATCCAAAAAAGGACGGTGCATCTCGGAGCGGATCTCAGGACGCCATCCTGGGGCCCGCTTGAGGCAGTGTCGGGGTCCGAGGCGAAGTGTGCAGAGGACGGGGCCATGCGAGGCCTTATGAAAACTTTGGTTTGGTGAGGTAGCGCGCTGGAAAGGGGAAAAAGAACGCTTCGTGGGAGTTGGCCGAGAGGTGATTGGAAAGAGATGCGAGACCCACGGAACTAAAGAAGAGGATGCCTTGATGGTGCACTATGTTGGTGCCCTGGTTGTCCGTTTGGGCAGTTGGGCTCGGAGACATAGTAGGTGAGCTCAGCACGCGACCATGCGAGCCACCGGCTTTGGAAAGGATGTGCGCAAGAAAAGATGACAGAAGGCACACGAGCGTGAGTTGAGCACGTTGCCCGTGAACGCTTTCTGGGGGACTTGTGGGAACTTGAAATTTCGACTGGGGCTTTTGTGGCGAAGCTTCCTGGATGAGAAGGTATCCAAAAAAGGACGGTGCATCTCGGAGCGGAGGTCAGGTCCTGGGGCCCTCTTGAGGCAGTGTCGGGGCCCTCTTGGGCGCTGCTAGGGGCTTCCTGGAGGCTTCTGGGGGCTTCCTCGAGGCGTCTTGCGGCCACTATGTTGGTTCCCTGGTTGTCCGTTTGGGCAGTTGAGCTCGGAGACATAGTAGGTGAGCTCAGCACGCGACCATGCGAGCCACCGGGTTTGGAAAGGATGTGCGCAAGAAAAGATGACAGAAGGCACACGAGCGTGAGTTGAGCACGTTGCCCGTCAACGCTTTCTGGGGGACTTGTGGGAACTTGAAATTTCGACTGGGGCTTTTGTGGCGAAGCTTCCTGGATGAGAAGGTATCCAAAAAAGGCACGGTGCATCTCGGAGCGGAGGTCAGGTCCTGGGGCCCTCTTGAGGCAGTGTCGGGGCCCTCTTGGGCGCTTCTAGGGGCTTCCTGGAGGCTTTTGGGGGCTTCCTGGAGGCGTCTTGCGGCCTCTTGGAGGCTCTTCGGGGCCTCCTGGGGGCCTCTTGGTGTCTCCTGGGGGTCTCTTCGGGAGGGGAGCCCGAAATGTCGGAACTAAAGAAGAGGATGCCTTGATGGTGCACTATGTTGGTTCCCTGGTTGTCCGTTTGGGCAGGTGGGCTCGGAGACATATTTGGTGAGCTCAGCACGCGACCATGCGAGCCACCAGGTTTGGAAAGGATGTGCGCAAGAAAAGATGACAGAAGGCACTTGGAGTCTCTTCGGGGCCTCCTGGGGGCCTCTTGGTGACTTCTGGGGGGAGCCCGAAATGTCGGAACTAAAGAAGAAGATGCCTTGATGGTGCACTATGTTGGTTCCGTGGTTGTCCGTTTGGGCAGTTGGGCTCGGAGACATATTAGGTGAGCTCAGCACGCGACCATGCGAGCCACCAGGTTTGGAAAGGATGTGCGCAAGAAAAGATGACAGAAGGCACACGAGCGTGAGTTGAGCACGTTGCCCGTCAACGCTTTCTGGGGGACTTGTGGGAACTTGAAATTTCGACTGGGGCTTTTCTGGCCAAGCTTCTTGGATGAAAAGGTATCCAAAAAAGGACGGTACATCTCGGAGCGGAGGTCAGGTCCTGGGGCCCTCTTGAGGCAGTGTCGGGGCCCTCTTGGGCGCTTCTGGGGGCTTCCTGGAGGCTTCTGGGGGCTTCCTGGAGGCGTCTTGAAGCCTCTTGGAGGCCTCTTCGGGGCCTCCTGGGGGTCTCTTCGGGCGGGGAGCCCGAAATGTCGGTGCCTGCCTCCCCCCTGGGGACTCTCTTGGGGCGTTCCTGGCACCTTCTGAGGCCGTCTTGGAGGCGACTTGGGCCGTCTTGGGGGCTTTTTGGGCCGTCTGGGCGCTCTCTTGGGGGCCGCTTACGCCGTCTTGGAGCGATCTTTGGGGCCTCTTGGGCCGTCTTGGAGTGCGGGAAGCCGAACAGGCGAGAACACGAAAAACGTCGAAAAACCTATGGAAAAGTAATGAATTTTGACTCTTGGGGCTCTCCTGGGGAGCCTCTTGGAGGCCTCCTGGACCGTTTTGGGGGCTCCTTGGGCGTCTTGGGCCGATCTTTCGGCGACTCGAGGCCCTCTTGGACCATCTTGTGGATCATCTTGGGGCCGTACGTGCCTCCCGGAAGCGCGTCTACAAAAATGGTGCAGCATGGTGCCGTGTTCGGCCGTCTTCCGCCGGCGTTCCGCCCGTGGCCAGGGCCCTGTCCGGGGGGGTCCCCCCCCAGACCCCCCCAGGGGGACACACAACGGGAACCCCTCCGCCAGGTCGGGGAAAAATGCACACGACGGAGCGATGCCAAGACAATGGAAGCTCGGAGGGGCAGGATCGGATCTCGAGTCGGCGGGAGGGAACGTCGAGAACGAGACGCGCCGTCGGAGGGACAGGAGGGACGAGGGGGAGGCGGAAGGGGGAGAGGGGGACGAGGACGATCGAATGATCGATCAAGCTCTCGGATGGAGCTCTCGGGCCAATTCGGTGCTACCCCCCCTCGGCTAGAGCAGAGCTGCGTTCATAAATCGAATGTGACCCAGCTGCGTTCACCATGAGGAAGGGGGGTCGCTAGCGCGAAATAATGGGGGGGCGGTGCTCCATGGGGGGAAGAGAGGCGCCCATCTCGGACCCTAAAGGCCCCCCTTTAGGAACTGGGCCCTCAAGGGCTCTTTTAGGGGCCCTTAAAGGGCCTCTTTTCGGCAGCCCTCGCGGACCGCCCTCCCCATTGATCGCCCCTCCATTGCGCGTCCTTTGAAGACGAGAGGCGAGACGAGCGTGGGAGCCCTGGAGGCAGCATGGGGGGAAGGGCAGCATCAGGGTCCTCCTTCCCCCTGCCCCACCTCCCCCTCCTCATTCCCTCGCGAAGCCTCGACTCCATCAGGGGAGCGTCATGACGGAAGCTGTGCCCCAAAAATCTGCCCCAGCGTGACCGAGACCGGCGCCCATGGTTTTCCGAACGCGCCCGAGTGTGACCAATTACCTGTCTCGAAACCAATACGATGTGGAATTTCGGTCACACGTTCGGTCGCACTGTGTTTTCGGTTACCGTTGAGCGCATCTTTTCTCAACTCTTTTTGTTCGGTCGCCGACCTTTTTGGCCGATGGGGGAGGGCGCCACGACATTCGTCTCCTGCGCCACGACTTGAAGCGGAGTCCGATGCTCATCCTCCCCCAGCTGCTGCGCTGTAGGCACTGGGTTCTCCTGCGAGGTGCCGCCCTGCCCCGCCCCCCAAGGCGGCCTCCGCCGCCTTGGAGGATAACGCCTCCTCCTCATCATCATCCGCCGCCTCCTCCATACCTTTTCCTGATAGACACCTCCTCCCTGCCGCACCCCCAGACGTGTCCGTAGGGCGGGCTGGGCGTTTCGCCTGAGACTTCCTCAACGTTGCCTGAAGCTTGAAATCTGCGACGGTCTCACGATGGGAGGGCGGGCTCTTTTCGAAATGTGGCTCTCGCCTTAGCGCCGCGCACATTCGACGGACAAGCTTGCAACAGTTTCAATGATGGAGGGCGGGTCCTTTTCATAATGTGGCTCTCCCCTTAGCACCACGCGCGATTCGTCGCAAACTTGCGACATTGCAACAGCTTCAACGACGGAGGGCGGGTCCTTTTCAAAATGTGGCTCTCCCCTTGGCGCCGCGCGCGATTCGTCGCAAACTTGCGTCATTGCAACAGCTTCACGGATGGAGGGCGGGTCCTTTTCAAAATGTGGATCTCGCCTCAGCGCCGCGCACATTCCTCTCCAACGTTCGCAACACTTTCACGGATGGAGGGCGGGTGCTCCGCGCATTCTTCTTCAAACATTTACAAAGATGGATGGCGGGTCGCTTTCAAAGTGTGGCTCTCGCCTTAGCGCGGCGCGCAGTCGACGGAAAAGATTGCAACAGTACTTCCAAGGATTGAGGGCGCTTACTTTCCTCTCGCCTTGGCGTCACGCTCATTCGTCTCCAAAGTTTGCAGCAGTTCGAAAGTGTTGTATGGCTGACCTTTAAGGAACGGCGTTCTGACACGATGTTGG